CCCTCACATAGAAATTGACACTTGGCAAATTTTCAGAATGTCCTTTGACTGAAAGCAAAAATAAGAAGGTAGAGAAAGCAAACTTCGACAAGCCTTTGAATCACCGTACGGCTGCCATCTAGCACAAATTCGTGTAAAGTTTGATTTCTGCTGGAATTATCTAGATATGGTCGAGAAATGCACATAACGAGTAGGTTCTGATGTGCCATTGGGAATTAATAGACTAATTCCTACCTCAAACGTAAATGCTTAGTTCTAATACATCAATGAATTTTAATGTTGTTACATTTCCAAACGTGGCTATTATCTTTACTTGTATGGATATTGAAAAGTAGAATCATCACTTTTAATGAGGAATTCAAAGAAAAATATTCGGATTATTTTTTCGATTCTCATTTCAGCACAGCTATATACACATCAGGGAAAATTAGAAACGTAAAACAGTTTCACTAACATAAAAGTGATCGATAATGTTTAACCATTATTCTTTACTCTCGAAATCCTCTAAAAGCTTTTTGATATTCATGAATGCTATAAAAGCCGCAGCACATAATTAACGTCCATCAAAACACTGAATGGCTTTAGTGTGGGCTGGTTTTTTATTTGTACTACTGGCAATCGTTTCTCTTTTCGCTCGAAATCGTTGAAAAGGTACCAAATTTTGGTAAACATTTTTATTTACAGCGCAAAATGTGCTAACCTCACACAGTAAAAGCTTTGGACTACTTTTTTTTGCAGAATACGCTCAAAAAGTTGGTTTTTCTGTACTATTTACTGGCAATTTTTCTCTTATTGTACGGAATCGTTGGAAACGTGCCAAAATTTGTTGAATGCTCCTATTTATGGCGGAAAATGTACTAACATCACAACTGAAAACTTTGGACTATCTCTTTTGCGGATCCACTTAAAATTCGTTGATTTTTTACTCTTCAGAATCAAGTTTCAGTGAAAATAAATAATTTTTATACATCTCATTCCAGCATTTTTTCTTTGTACTAGCTACTTTACTCTTTCTAAACTATCTTATTCTATGCCTTCCCTCATACGGCTTCTTTTACACCCGTGCAAGGAGACCTTAAAACTTGAAGCTTGTAATTTTGGACGAGTTTTCGCTTTGTCGGTTTCTGTTCAAGCGTAAAATTTTTTGAGCAAATTCGAAAATTACAGGGCTTTCTTTACTCGGGTCGTAAGTTTTGTTGCTTCCTTTGCTATATAAGAATGGAACCAACATGTCTGATAAGGAAAAGCTCAACCATTTAGAAATTTCTTTGCAGAATTTTCGAACGTTTTCTACATGCTAAGGCGAGAGTTTTTTTATATTTACTATATCCAAAGAAAATGCTTGGAACAATCTTGATAGTAGCTATTTCCTTTTTTGTTCTTTTTTGTGAGTACTAACCTATGAAGTATACGACACTTGGTACCGATATATACCCGATATAAATTGGGACTCGATAAGTATAGGTGATCATGTGAAGTGCTTTTCGCCCCTCCAAATCTCGTTTCCGATTTTTTTATTCTCTGTGCAAACTTATATAAGTATCCGTTCATTACCTGATGCTAGACTATGACTAGAACATTCTCACATCTTTTGTGATGCATGATATGTACTTCCTTCATCCTTTTTTATCCCATCACTAAGTGAATTCTTCTGATCTCCTTGTGAACTTCTTCTCTGCTTTAAAGATTAATTTAGACATTCGGCACCACTTATTCTAAGTTTATCTTCTAAAAATCTCGTTTATCTACTTTGCGGATGTGCTGTTGATCAGTAGAATGATCAGGCTAAGTAATAAGTTGGGTCCCATTGTTTTGATTTTTTCTCAACAATATTCAACTCATTTGGAATTCAATGTATAAGTTTGTGAAAGCTCTAGTCTTGCTCTAGGAATCCATATACGTCACTCCTCCTACTTAGCATAGATTAAAGAATTTTTTGGCATCAATACAAAAAATCCGAGAAATAAAATTTTTATTTTTGACATCTTTTTTCCTCTCCAAATTTCCCCTGTTTCAATGGGTAATATTTACTCGAAAAATTTGACAACAAACCTAGTACTTTTATGTTCTTAGTGTCACTGTTTGTGCTTATTCACTTCATTCTATCGACTTTCCAGTGCCATTTTTCACAGCTCCAGGCCCTAATGTTAGGTTTTTCTACAAATGGAAATTTTGCAGCCTATGTTATTGTTAATATTGCTGCATCTGACACCAATAATGCATTTTTCATTATTAGTTGTTTTTGTTGTTGTTTGTGTACGTCTGAAAACTACGTCAAAGATTTACTTTTAGTCAAAATGACAAGTTTCAAGTGTAACAAAACTTATGTAACAACCTAATAGCTTAAAAAATCAACCAAATTCGGATTTAGGAAGAAGACGCAAAAAATTAAACGGTAGTGACTCTAAGATTTGTAGCTGGACATTTTGTGGTATAGAAACAAGACTTCCCTTTTCAGGGCTCGACACAAGGTGGCATTCCAAAAATGCAAAAAACGAAGTCCTCCCCCAACCCTTTCGGCTTTGGCAAAATTTCAAAAAGTCCCCTTTGACCCTTATTTGAAATATCCGTATCGACTAAAAATACTGATTCCGGCCCACAAAAACGACATCCCCTCCTGCTTTTTGAACTAAAAACGCTATCCAGCTTGCTTATAAGCCCTGTGCCTATCCCGCTCCTTTTCAACAGGGTAAGAATTTTTGGTAAGAATTTTCGATTTCTGCATCAAGTAGTCATTCAGACACATCGCGATCACAGCCAAATACCAGCCATACACTCCTCCACTCCTTAATCGTCGTTTTTGTTCGCAATGGATCACGAGCACTAAGTCAGCATACGAAACCAGTTACGCGAGTAACGGCAACACTACTACAGAAGTTATCACTTAATCCGCTTACATCTGTGATTCCAATAGCATTTGCTCGATGTTCGCCGTACTTACACAAGTTCGGAAATGGTCTTTGTTCGCTAAAACATCTGGAAAATGTGTTGAGCCCAGAAACGTTTCCGCTAATGAGCATCTTGACATCGTCCGATAGAAAAAACTCGCCGTTTACATTCATTGTTTACGCGTGCTCGTTGGGGGTCAGTGCGGTTCTCTTTTTTCTTCGAGCAATTTTGAGGATGTCGAAAAGTGCTCCGTAAATATTTGGGGTTTGAGGCTACCGTCTGGTTTTTATTTTGAAGTCGTCAATGCTCATTTTTTGCTTAAAATTGTAAAACAGCCATTTCCAATGTAGACGGCTTGCCTTCAGGAATGATGGGTCTTACTTGAAAGTTCCAAATGCTGTATGAGTTCTGATCAGAAATGCAAAAAAAATCTGGATTCTAAAACCTAGGAATCTGCTAATTTTTTCACCAGGGCAAGCAATGAAATTTGCAAACTTGAGTAAAGTATTATTCCTGAGAACTTTTTTGATTTATGTTAGTCTTTACTTTTCCATAATTCGTATAGCGCTTGTCACGCTTCCTAAAATAAAATTCCGAATTCTCTGACCAATATAAAATTTTGTTCCCGTCATTCTGCCTCTTTTAGTCATCTCCTCCCTCTCACTTCTCCGTCGTGATTTGTTTCAGTTTACTTCAAATCAAACAAATCCATAAATTGCTTAGAGATATCTGACAAAGTATTCTTCATATTTTTTACGACCAGTGAGATTCTTACTCTGACTTGCAGAGGTTCAACGAGCGCACCAAGTTTATTTGGAGCAAAGGTCTCTAGAGACAGCACTAACTCGATTTAGGCGCAGTGGAAGTTTTCCAGAAACAAGGGTTTCACACGACGTGACTTCCTGAAATACAAAAAAGAAGTCCCCCTAATTTTCGCAAAATTTTACGAAGTCTTTGATCCTTATCCGATAACCTGCATCGACTACAAAAATAATTTTGGACCCATAAAAACGATATCTGCTTTGTTTTTTGTCCCAAAGGCGATATCTAGCTTTGTTTACATATATGCCACCGTGCTGAACCCTGCTAGAAACCTTACATAGTCTGAGATTTGAACCGAGAAAGCTGCTAAAATAAATCACATCTGGAATGCTGGATACTCCTGAACCGTGCACAAACTTCGCCCTCCTTCTATATCAGATTTTTGTTCACAATTGCTCTTTGCTATTTGTGCCTTTGAAGCAGTTGCTCTCTTTAGATAATCAATTTTTCTATAAATGATCGCAAAGGATCAATAAAAAGGTTTTTCCGATTTTTTTTTGAAATCTATCGCTGGCAACTGCGGAAGATTTGACTTCTATGGTCCAATGTCTCTTATATATCTTGTTTTTCTTCCAAATCACATTTGACAGTGCAATCGATAGCTAGGATGGTAAGAAAGTTTGAGCGGTTGCATTATGAATGGCAGCTAGCAAACTCCACTTTAGGGTATTCTCTCTCCCCCCCCCCGTCTTCTTACTCCTTCTATACAGACTTTGTATTGTTGGTGAACATCGACTTCAGGGACTTTTTGATTTGTAGTGAAATGACGAACCCACCAACACTTTTCAATTATGTGAGTTTAGCGTTGCTCTTATAGGGTAATTTTATCTTTTTTTCAATATCATTGTCAAGTTTCTAACTCGCGCAAAAGGTACCACAAAAATGAGCAAAATTTTTTCTTCCGAATAAAAAATACTTCTGCAGTTTTCTGTGACGCAGCCCGAAAAATGCCAATTTTGACTGATTTCCTTCAATCGCCTCTAGCTCTCGAGTTTTCTCGAATCAATTCATATTGGAGGCACAGCTGTGAAGAACATGGATTCCTCTTTTGAACAAAAGCAATATTAAAGAAATCCATAGAGTGGCAAGGAAGATATGATTTTTTGAAAATGATGCGCAAGAACTTTCGGACCAACTTACTATATTTTCCTTGCGCATTTTTTTTTCAAATGACACTTTCGTTTGCTCCTTTTTACTCCCACTTTGTTCGCCAGTGCTTTTTCGAGTAGCTCAGTCGTTTTCTTGTTTTTCCACTGCAATTCGGGGCGTTTAGTGTTTGTAATTTCCAGAGAAAAGAATTCTTAATGAGACACTGGTAGCGTCTTGCAAAACATGCACCATGCCGACGAACGTAGAACTTATTCCGGTGAGTCTTTTTTTTGGCTCGAACTAAAGATTTTTGTTTAGATGATTATCTAACAAGGAAATGATACTTGGTGTCCGTGGCCTTTTGAGATGAAACGTATACCATCACATTCGCCTTGGGACGCTGATTCTGAATCTGACTTCCGTTTCTGCTAATCGTTTCTCTAGAAGAAGTTATGAAGGACTTTTGCATTAATGGTCGCCTAAAAGAGATACGGTCGAGGATGCCTAATTTTTGAAAAGAAGCTTGATTGAGGCAATGCAAAACTTAAAAACACAAAAGGACTCGAACCTAAACCTGCATTAACTTGCGAGGCTATCGCACTAGCCACTACACCACTTCTTAGCTGAGGCTTTGGCATTTCGAACGCATCTCCTTTGGCGCGAAAATCCTCCATAACTTTTTCCTGAGAAATGATTGACAAAAACGGAAGTCAGATTCGGAACCAGCACTCCAAGACGAGTCTAATGGTGTGCATCTCATCTCAAAAGGCCACGGACACCAAGTATCGTTCCCTTGTAAGCTGTCTATAGTTTAAGCATTAAACTTTTTCTGAATTCTGTTCAAACATGCTCAATTTTCTTCTCTCGAAAATTCCGCTCAATATCTTCCAGATCTTTTTTGTCATTGATTTGTGTCCGTAAACAGCTATTTCTATCTCTTTATTGCTTTCATGCTGTACAAGATGGAAATACCCCAATCCTATTTGTAAAACTTGAACTCTTCAAGTGCATATCCTTTGTATCATTGTCAGCTAGATATTCTTCCACAACTTCCAAGAATCCAGCCCTACGGAAAACCATATTCTTCTTTCATTTTGCGTCCACTAAAAACTCCTTTTGTGTCGTTTGTGTGTGAACGCATACGAGACACGAGCGTAAAGTTTCAGATGGAAATTGATATGTTTGACATCGCAAGCAAGAGTCGTCAAAATGAGCTGCGTAGAGCATTTGTTTGCGAACAAACCACTCCTGGTTCTTTGACTAGGCATGAATTACAACTTTTTACTTTTTCTCTTCTCCGATTTGTTCAATTCACATCACGATTTTGCCTATGAGAGCACTTATTGAAGCACTTTATTGAAGTAAAGTAAAGTTTTGCAAGGTTGACGAAATTTTCTGAGTGATTTAGTTGGGATTGCGTCTAAGTTTTTTCTTATTTCTGAATTTTTCACATTATTATTCACCACTTCACAACTCTTTGACATCCTTACCTATTTTTTACACATTCTTAGAGGAACTATGGAACTCCACTCTTTTATGACGTTTTCAAGAATGCTGCCGTATTTTTTGCAATTTTTATGCGCTACAATTTCCATATAAATTGTGCCACAAACGTACAAAAATATAATATCCTGGAGATTCTAATTGTATTCGGGTTTGCCGAAATCAGTTTTATCCTCTATCCCCTAATTTGTTTTCATGTTGAAAATTTCTATCAAATTTTATTCGAATCCCTTCTTCCTAGCGGGCAAAATTTTTCAAAAGGAAAAACCGGTTAACGTTTCCTGATAAGCGGCGACTTATCGTCGAGTATCCATTGAGGATTGAAATCAGCTTAACATCATCTTCCCTCAAGGGCCAAATTAGCACCAAGAAATGATTGTGCGAATTTATCCCAACGAACGTATCCTGAAAGCACGTAGACATTCATGTGCATTAAGTTTCAGCGACAACTAAGTTTTTTTCGTCAAATTTTTTTATTGGCTAACGTTTCTGCAATTTCGTTTTCGTCAAAGCTTGTAAAGTCGAGGTTTACTTAAACGCGAAATCGCCGAAACGTTAGAACCGATAAAGAATTGGTGAAAATTTTGGTTGTGGTTGAAGCATCATACATAATAACTATCACGCCAAGATCAAAAAGAACTTGGAATATGTAGACATTGTTTTGTTCGATCGTTATTAGCTCCCCTCCCTCAATGATTCCTAGCGTAACGTAAGACGTTGAAGCGCAGATTTCAATCCAATTTTATAATACGATCGTGCCAGAAATTTGCTGTAGAAGTTGAGATCATGCAATTGGGAGACAAAAATGCTAAGCAGACACCAAAAATTTCCTACTTGATCACGTTTGACTATTCTGGTTATTCTAATGCGTCCATTTGAAATTTGAGCAGATTGAAAACCTAATTTTTCATTAAGCTTCGAAGGCTTGTATCATTTTATACGGTTTAGGAAGCCTGCGAAATCCCTATGATTAAATCAGTTGTGCGCGAACACCCAAGGTTTCAGCCTCTTTGTATAGTTTCTGAGTTGATAGCTTACTTGATTTTGAATTTTTGACATTGACGCGATGAAAATTTCTACCGTCATACCAGAACAACGAAGAAAGTTCGTTCTACCGTCGATTGCTCTATATATGAAAAACTACACACTTCCATGCTAGGCTCTAATCTAGTTTTCATTTTTCCATTATGTTGCTCCAAAAAAGTTTAGGCGCAAAGCAAATTCTACAATTTCATTTGGGATTAGCAACGCGCAAAGTCAAGATAGATGACAAAAGGATAGATGACAAAAGGATTTAGCTCACATTCAACAATGCAAAGCAAAGGAAACTCATAAACACATGAAGATTAAGATGGTTCTGCTGAAAAGGCATGTCCTGTGATAAATCACCTATCTATAATCCGGCATTTTATATTCGGACATTGTTTCCATATGTGCTTGATCATTACTCTGCATCTAAAATAGAGCCTTGAGAATATAAAAGACATCTGTAGTGTTGCTCCCACATGCTCCAGAAATCTAAGTCAGGATATTCTTGATAAAAGAGCGTCGTTACTGCGTTATTAGGATCACTAAATTTTTTTGCTAAATTCTATTACACTTTAGTCCAGAATACGATATTAAGCAAAATCTGTACAAAACTGATTGAGTTTTATCCAGAAAAATATTAAGTTACTTATAACAAGGTAAAATACTAGCCTCTTGATTGCCTCGTATTTGGTTCATTAGACTCACATAGAAAAAAAAACGCCTTAGTTGTTCAAGTAAGCTATCAGAAAAATCAAGATTAGTAATATTCAAACACTTTAGTATCTCTTACTTTTGGTCTATCTTTTTTGCTGAAGAAGCATGGTACTGTATCAATCTACGCCTTGCTTTTTCAGTAGTATATGAGCAAAAGAATACAGTCGCAGTTGTTGGAGACCATAGTTGGAGACCCAAGGAAAAATGTCGTCTGTCTTGGCTAAGGATGAAAAGAAATCTGCCTACGTTGATAATCATGAAAAGCTTTCTTTCAAAGTGTATAATTATCTTCATCTCACAACATTTGTTTTAAGCCATTATGTGTCGCCGTCAGTTTTGCTCCCTGTCATATTCAGTTTATTGCCCAATTATGGTTTCCCGCGGAAGTGTTCCTTCTTACGACGAATTACAAATCTTGGGATACATGGCGAGGCATTGCGAAACATGACATATACGTAGTGAGACATAGTATTTATGCCCCCCCCCCATTTGAGGGGCAACTTCGCGCAGCTATTTTAGGGTTATATTCGTATATGCACATGCCATCAAACAACTTTCCTATAAGATGAGGCTTCCTTGATTTTTACCAAAGAAAAAGATAACATACCGGACAGAGAGGGGAGCCCTCTCCAGAATCGTAGATTTTGGAAAGTTCAGATAAGTCATACAACTAAGTGCTTGAGTTTTTATGTAAACCCCAGAAAATCTTAAAAATCCAAGACATCCTTGCAAAAATTTTTGAGGTCTTTTTGTTGCCGCTACGCTTCCTTTTCCTGAGATCTCGGACTGGGTTTCGCAAGATCAGAATGCATCTCAAAAATTTTTGCGGATTGTGGCGCACCCTCAAAAAGTGCTGTCACCACGCCCCTCCTCCTCCTCCCCTCCCCATAACATAAAATTTCTATACCAGCACAAAGATAAGTATACAGTTACCAGTGGCGTACCGAGGGGGGGGGCGGGGGGGGGGGCGCCCCCCCCCCGAGAATGGGTCGCGAAATTTTTGAAAGTTACTTATAAGGGTTATAAAAATGTGCAAATGACTTGTTTATACTTGTAAATAATTAGAATTTTCAAAAATTTTTAAAAATTCAAATTAGCCTTGTAAAAAAATTTTTTTCGGGGGCGTGGCTGACGCCACGCCCCCTTTTTCTGAAATTTTGGGGTCAGGAGCCCGGAAAAAGTTTGAGAAGCACTCCTAAGATTTTTTCGGAGTGCGTGGCTAGCGCCACGCACCTTCATTCGAAGAAATTTTTTTTCGCCCCCCCCCCCCGAGCCGAAATCCTGGGTACGCCACTGACAGTTACATATTATATCCTGAATATGAGTCACAAGTTCTCAAAAAGCAGCACCATGCCTCGTGCTCAACAATGTCGTGATTGATTCTCATTTCCTAACCGGCTTTGGTGGCTTCGATAATCTTTCTGAAAGTCTTTAACTTCGAAAAAATTGCTATCGAATAAATGCATCGAACACCAACAAATTTCGAAAGCATCTTAAAATCCAGTTATCAGTGACTATTTCTTATTCAAAGCTGATTACACCGCTCAAGGGCAAAAATTGTGCCCTTCTTAATCCGCGGCTATCGGTTCTTCTACAGCAACAAGCGTGACACTACCAGTGCAAGAAAAGTAAGGATTATGAATCATTGTCTGCTTTATGATTAAACAAACTCATTGCAAAAGAAAAGAATGACAATTTTGATTTTAAAATAAACGGAACGTTAGACCTTTTTTTCTTTTAAAACAAGGCGCTTTGCTCGCAAAAAAATGGCAGCAAATGCTGCGCGATAAGAGCCGACGGTTTTAGTCTCAATTTATAATTATGCAAAAAACAGTTTAAACAGAAGCTTGCTATTTAGTGCAAGGGTATCTCACGAGGGTCGATTCAGTCAACAAAAAACTGTTCTGAAGTCGTCTTTCTAACCATCATTGATTGTCAAAAAGAATTTATACACTATTTCTGCTTTTCGAAATGCGAGTTTCGAAGAACACATAGTTGGAAAAAGAACGGTTCAAAATATTTCAGTCTGAATGGACTGTCATTACCAGGGTTGAGCAAGAGGTCAGGCACAAGTCCTTCAAAAACAACCCCCCCCCCCCTGTAAAAGCCCCTAAACGACCCTTTGCTTCACCTCCAAGTCCTTAGGGTGTTATATTTTGGAGAAGACCAGCCTTCACTGTAGGTTTCTACTTCTGAAAGTCTGTAGGCCCGACTTTTTACGATTGCACAACCACACGCAACTTGACGGCAAGTTTTAGATCTGGATAGTCCTCTTTTCAGAGCTATAATTTTCACAGGGGTGGAGTGTTTGGCTTCAAATTTTCAATATAGCAAGAAGAGGCTTTGCGCTCAATACTCATATCAAAAAAGGGGCGATTTTTGAATGCTGAAGGCAAGTTAAGAGGGTCAGGCGCAACCTCTCAAAAGTTCAGGCGGCCTGACCTTTTGAGGGGTTGCGCCTGACCCTATTAACTTTATTTCCGAAAAAGCTTTTCCATCTAAGTTTTATGTGATTCGGTAGCTCAATCCTCGAAGATTCCACGGTAAGTGTTTGAGCTTGATTCGACTTGTTTCGGCCTTGTGCTAATCCGAGAAGTTGAAGCACTCAACGTGAAAAACGCGCCGGTTGGAATTTTGGCAGCACTTCTTACTTCACTGTTTGAAAGCGATATGAAGTCCGATTTGTAGCATAGACTTGTAGAGAACATTACTTTGTTATGAGTATACAAAAGCTGACTTTTCTCACTTCTGAAACCAAGTTGACCACGCCCGAAAATCACGCTTTTTAGGCGTGAGAAACACTAGAAACTGCAGCAGGTAATGGTCTGTAGAGAGTATAGAGGTAATTTGATGTGCTGATTATGGAAATGGTACCCATCTCACACAGCAAGCTTCTTGTTTACCTCATATGTCAAGGTAAAAGAGAAGAAGATTTGAATTTTGACTGAAACTTTCATTGTGGAAACAATCAGTAGGCTGTTTATGACCGTCATTCCTTCATGTGATCGCGATATCCACCGGACTAGCGCATTTCTTCTTCACCTTCACAGTATCTCCCCAACTTAATAAATTCGATTCTTAATTACGACCCCCTCCCCTCAGTCTTACCTTCAATACGATCCCCCAGGTCGGGCGCGCCTGACCCCACGCTCAACCCTGGTCATTACCTTTGGTTCTGACATAGTTCCTGAGAGTATAGCGAGCTTGACAAGGCCTTTCTGCAGTATAAATCCCGCAAGAATCTAGCGCTGCTAGATGCTTTAGATGTCTTTAATATACGCTTTCAAATTTCCATTGATCAATCCTTCAAAGTAAAAATTTCCAAACCATAGTTCTTTCTATTCAACGGCAGCGATGCGCAAAACTTGAAAGGTTGCAAGTTTTCTTTTTGATCTGAGTGCCACCTCCAGATCAATTTGACAAGCTATCAGACATAAACTACCACCATTCACGATTAAACGATACATGTAGTATGATGCCTGCGTAATTCTCCCCTACGCAAAGAGCCTTTCCGTGTTACTGCTCTGTTATGACACACCTGGAATTCCAAGAAAATGCTTTTCCTTGTAGAATAGTTGAGGCTGTATGATATAAATCACGGTGATTAGCATGGAAAACTTCTCTCACCGTGCATCTCCTGAGAATAAATGTCTCAACCAGCACTTTTATTGATAAAAAACCTATGCATGTAAGTGCGGAAACGCGGAGCAGCTCTTCTCATTCTTCTCGTCCGTCTTAAATAAGTAAAGGAAACGAAAATAATATTTTTCTGCTGATTCGATAGTCCTAGGTAAGTTGAAAAGGGAAAGTGGTCAACCAAGTGCTCAAACAAAAGGTTCTCTCCTTTCTGTTATTGCGAGTGGATTGATTTGTAAGGTCATGTCATAGACTACTCACAAGCAGCTTGTCAAAGAAATTGTGAATAACAAACGTTCCGAGTTTTCTGCGAAAAATTAGTGGCATTTCATTTCAAGGTTGTTAGACGAGTAGCACACAGAAATAAAATCAGTAGAGACAACCAGAAAATTTTCATCTTTTCATGTTCTGCTTTGACCAAAGCCTGAATTTTTGACTTCACGTCTTCTCCAAATTGGAAACGCGCGAGGGATCCGAACCATTCTGCTGCACATAGCAATGCGAAAGTAGACTTCTTTGTTTTTGTGACTTACGCAAAGCAAAAAATTTCGACCCTACTCCACCCGTTCCTTAGAAGCGAGTCGAAACCGTTGACCCAGACGCTGACGTTCTTCTGTCGTTTGAAGAGCGGCAGACGTGAAAAATTTGCGTTCTGGTTTGGCTAGGTAATTAAGGTTATGAAGGCTAAGGAAGCTAGTTTCAAGTACATTCTGAGAGCTATTATCACCTGACGATTAGTCTGCCTTTCTATGCAAAAATCTACAACGAATATCAATCATGCAAATTCTGAAGAAAGACCAGTCTCTGAGTTCTTTCACCATATTTGTTTCGTGCCGAAGCCGTGGAAACCGTTTCTGAGATTATCTAATATATTCACTAAAATAGAGACATTTTCAGTACTATTTTCCCAGTAAAAGAAATCGAAGTCATAAAAATGTATTACTTTTGGTACCTGAAACCTAATACAGCTAAGTAAATTTTCTAAGTGTACCAGAAATGCAGGGAAACACTGCCTTAAATAGCTCATGAAATAAACTGCTTTTCTTACGTAACGCGTATGCTATGCGCACACTCTAAGTGACACAAAATGTGTTTATCGAAGTGAGCGAGGACAGAATTTGATCTCCGCATTAAATGTATTATTTTGGAGGCAAACCATGACGATTCGCAGATTAGCCACACTAGCTTGGCTCCATGCAATCCAATTTCATTACCTAGGATAACGCAAAAATTTCCTAGCATCTCTTGGTCATGATCCAAAACGGAGCGCTATCGGTGATACTTGCCCTAGTGTTGTTTCAGAAAGCTTCCATAGATAATATTTGCGAAAAAAACTTTTAGGCGTTATTCCAGCAATATTTACTAGCGAGCAACAATATTTTGTTTTTCAAATAGCATAAATCATTGCTTTTGATCGAGTCATTAACGAGAACTAAAATAAGCGGAGCAATTTTATGTATATAGCTTGGGTAGGGGAACGAAAACCGCCAGCTTGAGCCGCTTTTCGCGGCTAACTGGTCCTTTCGCAACGTTGTTGCATGTCGTCCCAGGACCAGCAGTCTGCGCAGGCCACCGAAGCTGGCGGCTTTCGTTCCCCTACCCAGATAGCTTCTGCATATCAACTCACCAACGGGGACTTTTAACAAAAAGGCTTGACCAACAGTTATATGAACAAAGTTAACGTTGGTACTACTCGTGATGCGTTACTTTGGTAAGTTCTGTCCATGCAGACATTCAATTTTTGTGGACAATTGGAGATAAAGCAATTACGAAGACAATCACGGGTTTGACTGTAAACTTCCCCCAAATAATCTGATTGCGACTTACCTGCGTTTCAAGTGTTTCTTTCTGCTTATAAGCAGATTCTTGAAGAAGTACGTAATTGCTATTTGGCTCGATCAACTTAACAGATTGATAACATCCCTCCCACTGACGTGTTCTGTGATTCAAGTATTTTTGAGAAAAAAGCCGTGTGTGTTTTTTGAGTGGTCAAAAAGACTTCCATATAATGATTTCGAGCATACGCGCGTATGCACAAGATCATTATGTGGAAGTCTTTATGACGCTTGATCATGAAACATGCAAACCATTATATTTAAAATTACTTGTATCTTACAAAGTCTATCAGGAATTACATGCACGAAGATTTCTGCATCATTTCCTTCTTCAATAAACTATGCAATGCCTATGTGTGAGAATCTCCTTTTGAGGAAAGCGTTATTATATTGAGTGTTTTTTGCCTAAATTCATCTTTGATTCCTCTCAGAACAGTTGTACAAGTCCCAATCTTCTCACAAGGGAAAGATTCTCGATCGAAATGGCGTTTCCATATGGAATGTATTTTGTATTAGCATGGAACACTGATTTCATATCTGCTTTCGTTATCTGCAAAGCTCTTTTGGAAGGAAAGTTATGGGACTTTCTTCAAGCAGAAATTTGGATCCGAGGCTACAATAAAATCATACGTGTAGCTTGGTTCATGGGGCTATGATTACTGCCAGGGTGATCAGTGTAATTATTAGCTTCAGTCCAATAATTTATGCCGTCATTACTTCCTTTACGCATTGGAAGACTCAACGCCTGTTTTTACCTCAGTAAAGCTCTTGGATTTTGTTTAAAAACATTCCCATTATTCCCTTTCCAGAAAAGTTTGCAGATAATAAAAGCAGATTCGGAATCAGCGTTCCATGAGCTATAAGACACTGTACATTTCATATGGAAACTCCACTTCGGCCAAGTATGGTTTCCTTGTCAATAAAACACAATTGACCTATTTTAATAACTGAACTTGCGTTCTAAACTTTTGTGAAGCTACTTCGATGACTCTATATGACAATCGGGCAACCAGTATTGTTACTGCATATGTTACCTTAGCACTTTTTTTACACCTGAAAAACCAGTGCGCATACGTCTTATGCACCAAAGTGCTAAATGGGAGCTTCGGCGTGCATACGCGCGTTTGCACGCGGTCATCGACGTGAGGTATAATGCTGACAATGTACAGGCCAACGAGGGAGTCGCAAATGTGTGTTTTTCAAATGGTAATTCATCGTACACTTCCATGAATCTACTAATTTTGAACACTTGACCGTGGGACAAAGAACAGAATTGTGTTAGCATGGTAAGATAGGCATACCAGCTATTCCCTCGTACATTGTTAAAATGTGAAAATTTCTGATAACTGAATAATATTGCTGTTGCTGTGTGGTGAAAACATTGCTAACTTGCATCATAATAACTTCATACTGGTATGTTGCGCAAAAAGCTCAATTAGGTACAGGACCTATACATGTATCTCTGTTGAAGAAGAGATTTTCTTCTGTTGACCACCGGGACAGCCCTCACAGACACATCTCCATTTTTCTTCGCAGTATCCTTTTTGGCAACCCTGAATTTCAATTCAATGAATCAATTCGTAAATTGATGATTCGAATAGATGAGTAAATAGGCATACTGATACTTTCAAGCAACGTGCTCTGCACCCAAAATCTTTGCCAAAAAAGCAAGGTGGCATCCTAGACGCCTCGACTGAGATTTCCAAAACGATTAACAGTAGTGCAAATGCAACAAAATGACGCATCATTTCTAAAAAAAGAAGAATGATTAATTTGCAAATTTTATTTGATATTGATATAGTGCAATATAATAGGAAAGATTCAAGACTTTATCTGCTTTCTTTGGCTAGGTACCATTATAGCTCATTTAAACATACAATACCGCTCGCATGTCCTGGAGAAAACGACGCAGAGTCGCCCGATTCACGTGACATCGACGTAGCGTGACCATATCTCTCTCCAGAGTAAAAATTCTTGATCCAAGGGCATCATTCGACTCAACTCGGCGCGCGCATCTTCTGATGTATATTAGTGTCAGCTTGAACATAGTAGGAGGCCAGATTTCACGATTCGTCCCAATTTTTTGCTCACGGTAGGTTGCCCAGCGAGTGCAGCGAATAAGCGCAACGAGTAACCTACCGCAAGCAAAAATCTGAAACGATTCCTACCTGGCTCTACTATGTCCACGCGGACACTTCTGGGCATTGGAAGATGCCCCGCGCCGAGCTGAGTCAAATGGTGTGCTTGGATCAAGAACTCGTCCACACTGAAGCGAGATATAAACATGTGACGGTGATGTCATTTGAAAAAACGACTGTGCGTCATTTTTTTCAAAAAAAAAACGGTATTGTATGATGCTTGTGAGTTAGGCCAGCTTCCCAAACACCAGTTTTTAGGCACTAAGAATGTTCAGAATGCGTGGTTCTGCATCAGCCGACCTGTTCTGACTTGTCTTGAAAGACTCACTACCAGGAAAACTATCTGCCGCAGTTTTTGATCACACTGAAGCCCAAGAAAATTCATTTACAAATCTGAATTTGTAAAAATTTTGAGTATCATTGCAATACTTACGAAATAAGTAATTGCACAGCTTTAAACTCTTGGGATACTTTCACGAAGTTTGTAAAATTCTGCTTTTACCTTTTAAGGCTAAATGCAGGCACGAGCCAGAGTTAAAGATCGGGAAGCATAGAGAGCTCTTCTGCGATTGTCTTAACGTATTATTGTTTCTTCCAAAAAAGATGTTGTTTTCAGATTTGTTCTTAAACTTTGCTTGCGTTTCTGTTGCCAGAAAATCCATACCAATCCAGCGTTATGGCATTTTGAGGTAGTTTGAGAAATGAAATGAGAAATGAAATGTACGGTAAGAGGAATAACTCGAGAGCGTGAAGAAGTGCACAAAGATTCAAAATGACTTCGTCAATAGCAATTTTGATCATTTATTAGTACGGATGTTTTCGTTATCAAATTGGTACGCCCTCTACTAAAACCATAATCTTTGCCAATATGTGAGCGAATAGAAACTGTCAGTGCTATCGTACCACCTTTTCATCAATATAATGATGTTAAGCGCTTAGAATCGTTGATACAAGATGCTTATTCTTGAGCATGCCGAAATCTTACTTTTATAGCTGAGCTATTTTCAAGCCCAATTTGTTGCCCAATAATCACCATCCGCTTCTCTTTCATCAACTGAGAAGTCCATTTACAATGCAAGTCATCAGCCGAATCAACTTAGGCCCGTATGCACGTAAATCCCTGCGGGGAGGGGAGGGGATCTGAGAGGGGAAGCGTCATATCTCGGTAGTCTATGTATCTTTTTTCTTCTTTCTCTGTCTTGCTTTTGAAGGTTCTCATACACTGATACTAGCGTATAACGAATGCCAGGTTACTGCCATACAAAATTAGATATTCACTATTTCGTCTGATCCCCTGGGGATCCCCAGGGATCACCTCACATGTTCAAAGTTATTTATCTTCCTCAAAACTCGATGAAAATGCTCTGAAATTGTACTGAGGATATACTACAGCACTGCTAAACATGTTTATGGTAGAAATGAGTGAAATCTTGAGATATCAAAATTTTCGATGAACCACTGCTCGCGAGCCAGGGATTACTGAAAAAATCAAAATCTCCAGATTCCATTTCTTCTGTCGAAAACATGCTCAGCAGTATCGTGATATATCTTAAGTACAATATTGCAGCGTTTCATTGATTTTTCAAAAAGATAAATGGCTTCGAAAATATGAGGTGATCCCCTGGGGATCCCCAGGGGATCGGAAGAAATAGTGAATATTTTATCTTGTGTAGCAGTAATCTGGCATGCATTATGCGCAGGTATAAGGGTATGAGAACCTTTATAAGCAAGATAGAGAAGAAGGAAGAAAAATATTTAGATTAGCGAGATATGGCGCTTCCCTCTCAGACCCCCTCCCCTCCCCGCGGGGATGTACGTGCATACGGGCCTTAGAGAGCAGCCGAAGAATGTGAAGAATTTTTCCCAAATGAATCATTTCATTGTTTTGAGCGCGTACTCATTGTATGCGGGATGCATCTAGTGGAAAAAGTAAGCTAGTTATAGGACTCAGAAATACAGCGCATTTGGGACTAGAAAAAAATAAAGTCTATCCAACAAAACTCTCAATCACAAAAAAAAGCATTTATAATTGAATAACAATATTAAATAATAACAACATAAATTGAATAATATATTTATTAAAATATCAGGTGCCCCCTTCACAGTAACTCACTAAAAAGAAGAACTATGAGTCATTCACTCATTCCCTGAGCTGAGGTGATGGTGTCAGCGGGAATGGGGAAAGTGCTATTCTCAAAAAATTGCATCTTGCGAAACCCAGTTGAATTCTGAGCTCTTCGAACGATAGGGAGATACAAAAAACAGACTTGTTGTTGGAACCATCCTTTCCTCCTCCCCCCCCCCCCCTTACCCCTCCCGTCACCTAGAATCTCTTACGGCTAAACTGACGTAATAAATATCTTCGGAGCAAAAGTAACATTGAAGAAGATTAACTTACGTCAGATTGGAGCACAATTCTTGCATTAAAAAGAGAAAAAAATTGTTATAAAAATCCTCAAACAAACTAATTAAATCAAACGATATGTTCTTTGTTATGTATATCAAATTTAGTATTTTATAATATAATACGTTTTAGATTTTTTCGATCTGATACAAAATCGATAAGTCATTTCAAAAAATCGGAATTTGTAACTATTTCCAGACACATCCAATCACTACCAACTTCTCTCATTTGGATCAAAAATGAACTTGAATTCTAAACGCTGTAGCTATTTTGGTGACTAAAAATAGAAGAAAAAACGCTTTCTGGGTGTTTCTCTTCCTCAACGAATTTTGGCTCGAGCGCCTTCAGAAAGAGCAAGATTTGCTCCCTCTAATGATCAAACCAGCGCAAAATTTGCTCAGATTTGTTCCTCTAATGTACATCAAACCAGAAGATTTCAACGTGGATAAAGTAACAGAACTTCAAAACCTAGTGCAAAAATTACGCATCAACCTAATAGTATGCAGGAAGACAATGAGGAATATTGTCAATCTTACCTCATACCTTGCAAATGCACCCACTCTCATACCGTAGTAGCACTCTCTGCTACTAGCCTATTTAACGCTGCTTCACGGTCAATTATTTGTGGGAATGCAGTTTGTAAGAGAAGGAGGATCACTGATGAATCAGCCAAATAAATTAAAGAGCTCACTAACTTTTACTTTATCAAAAGACCCCTTGTTTATTCAGCCGCAACGTTCTGTTAACAAACGCTCTTCTCTTTCATGCTTTTCTCATGAAAATTGTCCCGACTATCTTTTTTATCTGCGAGTTGTGCAAATTTTTTGGCACTTTTGGCAAAATTTATCACAATGTTACTTTTTCTTAGCTTATTCTGTACCAATCGAGGATTGTTTTCCTAACAGTTCTGTTAGTAGAAATATTGCGCGAGGGGATTAGCCTTGAAAAAGGGACGATTTTGGATGTGTTGGAGGTCTAACTTGGGCATCAATTTATCACATGTAGAACGTACATATGGAAAATGGTTGAAGAAAAAAAGCAGAAATGCTGAGCGGTGGACCAACATGGCCATTTCACTTATCTGGAGCTTGTCAAGGTTTTCGTTTTATGTTTCCGTTGGTCAAGCCTGAGCTGTTATTCAATAACTAAGCTTTTCGATTTTTTATCCAGCTCTTTTTCCACGACCCGACTCCTAGTAATCTATCAAAACTCTCACCCTCACTTCGACTAGCTCTGTCGTATTCTTTGTTGTCATACACTCGTATCAAATGACACTGAGAAAAGAGAAAGTGCATTTTGTGACTCATCAATGGGAATGGAACCTCATTAACCTAGATTAACCGCTTGAATCCATTAGCGCTTCGCTTTTGGAGTAATTTTGGGTTTTAGAAGTAAAATCGGAGTGATATCGTGTGGTTGATGTGTATTTTTTGTTGAGCTAAGAGAGGAATGGAGCTTTTTATAAAGTGTCAGGATGGTGATCCTTAAGGATATGGATTTATGGCATTTATACACCGCATTGCTTATTCTAATTCCGAGGTCGTCACGACCATGTAACGATCACGACTTCCGGACTTTGACGTTGTATGCTGATTGCACTCTGCGTACACGCAACAAACCCGTCTCTACATTGAAGCCCCCTCCATGGCTTTCGTAAAATTGCGCATGCATTTGTTTCGGAATCACCCTAATTATGCATACCAGTGCATTCTGGCGGACTAGCAAGCCGTCGAGGGGTCGTGTTCAATAAAGGGGGGGGGGGAAGATGCTAATTTCGTTGTCATCACAATCGCGCCAACTGCCATGTTCTGCCTCGGTGGCGGTATATAAAAAATTGTCTAAATAAACTGCGACTACGGTTTAGAATTGAGACGCGACATGCGGACAACCAGACAGAACTCCAAGGTCTCGGTTTGCTGCAAAAGGCAAAAAGGTTTAGCCATCTACAATCTTTCCTCTTTCTAACAAGCGAAGGAACCTCAGTCGAAGTGGGGTTTCCACACGTGATGCACATCATTGTGCTGGTCCTGGAGAACCAATACCAAATCCATGTTCCTTAGCTACTCAGTGATCTCTCGGAAAAGTTACGAGTGAAGATTTCCCTAGGATAACTAACCACGGATCGCTTTAGTTAACGGGCAAAGAAATGTCAGGTGAAGGGATGGCCTAGTGGATAGCCTCGGAGACTAGAAAAAGAAAGGGTAAAACGTTACTTATACTTATGTTCCAAACATTCTTGCATTTTTGCAAATTATTCAACGGGTACCGAGTGTTTCTTTGCCTTAGGGCCCTTCAATGATACATATTAAACAATGCAATCTACAAAATGGAAAAATGTTTGGAACATAAGTATTCCGAAGTTCTTACCACTTTCTCCATAGTCTTCGCAGTGATCCACTGGCCATCCCTCCACAACTGACATTTCTCGGCGCCGTAACTCAAGCGATCCGTCATCCTGGGAATGCCATTGCTCGTAATTTCTCCCAGAAGATCACTGAGCAGCTAAGGAACACGGATTTGTTATCAGTACCCCGACCAGCACGATATGCATCACGTGTGGAAGCCCACTTCGATCGAGGGCTCTTCGTTTGTAAGTAGCAAAATAAACTGCAGTGCGGGGCTACCCGCTACCACTCTAGTTTTTTCTTTTTTCTTATCGTCCTTTAAATTAAATCAGTAATCTTCACAAAAAAAGTCTTAAACA